AGGAAGAGAATGCTTACGGAAGGAAGTTCCCTCTGGAGGAGGCAGAGCTAAAAACACTGAGTCATGACGAGAGGGAAGCCATCCCAATAAACACATTTTAGATTAAAGAAAAAAAAAATCCTGGATTCCACACTCTGACTTGTGGTTCACCTGTTTAATCATTTAACCTCTCCTCATCTACAAAATGAAAATCAGTGTAATTCCAGCTCCTTAAGATTTGAGGTAAATTTTTCACTGCTGTTCTTGAGACTGGGACTCACTATTGGCTCAGACTCAAACCCATCATCTTCTTGCCTCCGCATTTCCAGTGCAGTCATACGCCCCTATACCTGACCTTGTATTAAAAATTAAATGAGTATTATATGCCACACACTTAAAAATAATGCTTAGCCTGTGGCAGTCACACAACAGTATTAAACTATAATTTTATTTCAAGGCAGAGCCCCAGGCGCCAGCCTTCTCCATGACAAGTTTCAAGCACCCAAACCTTGATCTATTTTATGGGAAGATCGAGCCTACTGTGGGTAATACCACCTCTGGGCATGTGGTCCTGAGTTCTATGAAAAAAACAAACTGGGCAGCCAGGTGTGGTGATGCACCCTGTAATCCCAGCACTCAGGGAGGCAGAGGCAGGCGGATCCTTGTGAGTTTGAGGCCAGCCTGGTTTACAAAGCAAGTCCAAGACAGCCAAGACTGCCAGGGCTATACAGAGAAACCCTGTCTCAAGAAAACCAAACCCAAACAGAACAAAATCAACTGAGCAAGCCTTGGAGAGCACCCAGTAAGCAGTGTTCCTTTGCTCTCTGCTTCAGTCCCACCTCCGGGTTCCTGCCTTGAGTTTCTGCCCTGATGCCCCTTTCAATGGACAATCCTTTAGGGGGAAATAAACTTTCTTCCCGTGCTGCTTCTGTTCTCAGTGTTTGTTATAGTAAGAGAAAGCAAACTAGGACAGAGGGCCTCACTGTGTAGACTTGGTCGGCCTCAGACTTGCAATGGTCCTTAAGGCCTCTGCCTCCTAAATGCTGAGATTACAGCTGTGTACAAGCTCCCTGTTTGTTTGTTTGTTTGTTTGTTTTGAAAGTGTCAATGGCTAGCCCAAGTTGGCCTAGAACCTAGTGATTGATTTTCCTGTGTCCATTTCCTGAGTGCTGGGGTTATAGGCCCACATCAGTACACTTGGTTAATACCAGATCTTGAATAATTTAATTTGCTGTTGAAACCCTGAGCCACTAGAAGCAGAGAAACAACATTCATTTTATCTTCTGCTTTTATTTTGTCAATAATTTAACTTTTTAAGGAGAGGGAGCACTCTGTGAGTGCTCCATGGTGCACATTAGGAGGTCAGAATACGACTTTGTAGGATCAGTTTGATCCTTCTTCCTTTTCATGGCTTCCAAAAATCAAATTCATGTCTTCAGGTTTGCAATGCAAACCTTTGTTCACTCAGCTATCTTGCTGGTCTTTTGTGCTTTTGATAGACAGTGAGGACACAGTTCAAATCCTAGAGCACATTTTGAGTGCCCAGAAACAGAAGTTAATTGTTCTGCTGTAAAAAACCATTTCCGTGCATGTGTGCATGCGTGATGTGGCGTGTGCATGCCTGTGAGCTTGCAGAGCTTGGAGTAAGGTGTCGGGCATCACGCTAGACCAGAGTTCCACCTTTAGCCCCCTTCAGACTGGAGTTTAGCAGGCAGTAATCTGAGCAGAAGCCCCAGAAATTTATACCTCACCTCCACCTATAACTATATAGCCTCAGGAGAGCTGACACCTTCTGGATTCCTTGAGCACCACACACGGGTGACATTTATTCACACATAGACACAGTAATAAAATAAATTTAAAAAAATATCCCCATTGTTAGTAGTTCTATAAAAATGCCATGCACACAACCAATCTTAAATCCAGTGAGGTTTATTGGATGGAGAGAGCGAGGGAAGGAGAGAAAGAAAGACATGGTGGGGGGATGGGCCCGACAGAGGGAGGGGTAGAGCAAGAGAGGAGGCATGGCCGACAGGTTACTATGTACCTGGCCCAGATGATGTCACGGGACACAGGTACGGACATAGGACATCGTCAGGACCCTAAAGTTCCCTACGGGAAGGCCAGTTGAATTGCCTGCACAAGGTAACACCCATCCCATTTCCATGTCTTTCATTTTTACTTTGTGACCCACAGGACTTCATCAAGGCTGCCTTTGTGGGCCCAAGTGTGGAGCTGGAGCAAGGCTTTCTCAGCAGTGGTAACCCAACGAAGACAGACTTCCTCTCTACCACAACCGTGGGGCAGGGCCCCTTGATGGCCTCCCCCATCTGGGACTGAACATTTAGAGGGTCAGTCTTGTTCAGCAACGGCAGCAGCTGACTTCATGAGTGCTACTGCCATGCCATGCCCAGCAGCATTTCAAAATTCTTTGCCAATCTTCTTTCTTCCCTAGTGCTTCCTGAGTCTTAGAGGTGATATGACATCCCTTAAAGAGAGAACAGTCAGGAGTGGATTGTTCTTAGCAGTTTGACTCAGCCTTGAGTCTCTGTATTAACCACCCTTCTTTGCAGAGGGAAGCTTCTTTGATCAAGGCTGAGACAGCACTAACCTATAACCCCCTGGCCTGCAGGTCCTGAAATATCCCCACCCTCTCTTCCTGGATCTTGATAAGAGAGATTATAGGTTGGCTCCTGAGATGCCTTGGCTGGAATTTTCATCTGATAAAGTGATGTCTGGAGCCACCAGGATTGCATAAGGGGCGTTAGTAAAGTTTTCCTTGTGAATGGGGTTTCTAGTGAGGTTCCTAGAAAATTGTAGGTTCATGCCTGGGAGAAAAGCATTTAAGCAGTTGTTAATTTTGCTGGAATTCTTGTTTTTCCACTGGCAAGAGGCTTCAACGGGATTCCTAGGGGGAGGGGCTTTTTTCTCTTTCTCCCATCCTTAGATTTCCTGTCTTTCTAGCTTGCCTTGCTTTTACTTATTTTGAGACAAGGTTTCACTGAGTTGCTCATGCTAGCCTTTTTGACTAGGGCAGGACACGCAGGCTGTGAGCTTTCTTCCTGTTTCAGCCTCTGGAGTAGCAAGGGTCATAGGCCTGCAAAATCCGACCTCCTAAAAAGTACACTTATGAAACAGACTCGGGTCCTTTATTTTAAAATTTTTTATTTACAGCTTTACTGACAAGTCTCATATATTCCAACCTGGATCTAGCAGAACTTTTGATCCTTCCTCTCCCCGGTGCTGACTAAAAGCTTGAACCACCACACCCAGTTACTTTGTAGCTTAAAAAAAAAAAAAAAAAATAGGAGAGGGTGAGCCTAAGATAAATTAGTTGTGTCTGTCCCTGCTGGTAATGTCTCTATCTCACTTTTCCTCATGTTTCTAATATGGGGGTAATACATACTTCAGAAAAAAAATTTTCATGACCCAAAAACATAACATTTTTGTGAAAAGTACTGTATTCAAAGGATCTTAGACAGTAAGAGTCAAGGACATCCCTCTCCCCCCCATGAACTCCAAGCCAACATTCCTCTCAAGATACAAATATGGAAAACAAAAAAAAGCTCCTTTATGACTCTGTCTCAGTGATTTCTGGTTTTGACAAGGACAAAGGGTCCTGGTCTTCCGCTAGCCTTCCTCACACGGTCTGGGGGTGTGTGGGGGGGGGGGCTTCCAGTTCAAACGCTGCAACTAGAAGCTGTCACGGCATTCTTTGAAAAAAACCACCTCTCTGAAAGGAGCAAGCGCCCTCCCCGGCCATTCGGGAAGACACGTGGAGAGGGCCGGGAGACGGGCTCGGGGTGACAAGGCCCCGAACGCCCTGCCTCCGCGCACTGCAGTTTCTCGGCCCAAGCACCCGCTCCGGTATTGGCTCAGTCACGTTTTCAAGGACTCTGCGCGCCCAGGCGTTGGGTTTTTTGGTAGAAGTCAAGTCAGGAGAGACATTACCTCATGTTGCTGAAAATAAAAAAGGTCGAGATCACTCAAGGACACGGGGCCGCCGGAAACAAGGACTGCCAGTGCCTAGCTCACTCACGGGGGGTGGGGTGGGGAGAAATGACCCTTTTGCACATTTATTTCCTAAGCTGAGAGGTTTCTGCTGCAGCAGGGGGGATGGAGGCCACGCTGTCCCAGCCCCGAGGTGGGGAGGGGGTGCTCGGCCCCGGGGTCGGCCAGGAGCACGGACACGTTTCCTTCACAAAGGCTGTGTGTGTGTGTGTGTGGGGGGGTCACAACAAGGATCCTGGGGACATGTGACAAGCCAGGCCCGCCGAGCCTCCGCCCGCACTGGGCTGTGCGGATGGATGTGTTCCATTTTGCGCGAGGACGGCCAAGGAGAAGGCGCGGCGGCCCGGCCACCCCCAAGCCAGGCGCCACGGAACGGCAGGCCTAGCAGCGCTCCCCAGTCTCGGGATCGGAAAGCCCGGCTGCGCGGAGGCTGAGGCCGGGGGACCGCGGGTGTGAGGGCGAAGGAGCCGGCGCCGCGTGGGGGAGGGGCGCGACAACCTTCGCAGCCATTTTGTCCTCGCCCCACTTCCGTCTTCTCTTCCCGGACTCCCCCCTCCCTCAGGCTCTTCTCTCAGGCTGCCCCGGGGTCCCCAGAGGCCCAGATCGCGGCGAACACGGCTGTCATTGGTCCGTTGCGGATGTACCCGCCCCCCTCCCCGGGCCCTCTTCCGCCCCCTCCCGCCCGCGCGGACGGGCCGCGCATGCGTGCCCGCTGCCGGCTCCTTCCCCTCCCCCGCCAGCCCTGAGTGACAGAGGACTCCCGCGCGCGGGCTCCCTGCGCCCCGCCCTCCCCCTTCCCCCGGGCCGTTCCGAGAGCGGGGGCGAGCGTGAAAGTTCCAGAACGCTGCGGTCGTGCGTCATCGCGAGGGAGGGTGGGACGGGGCGGGGCCTAGGGGAGCGTTCTGGTCGTTCGTTGGTGGATTCGGAAGGGCCTTGTCTCCCATTGGCTGGGGGGCTATGATAGGCAGCGGGATGGGCGGGATCCTTCTGGAAGGTTCTAAGACAGGGTATAAGAGAGACTGAAGCGGGCGGAAACCGGTCTCATTGAACGCGGTGCCAGCTTTCGGGGTTTTGCGTGGTGTCTCCGCCAGCACAGCCGGGCCTAAACGGTGAGGTGAAGCCTGGGGCTTGGGTCGTTGCGGGCCCCCTTGGGTGCTGCAGCGGCCGCTGGGGCGCTCGAGCGGCTGGCGCGCACTAGGCCGCTGTCTCCGGGGACGAGGGATGCACCTGAACGGGAAGATGCGCTGAGGCAGGGCGGCGCCGCCATGGCTTTGAGGCTCCGCGTAGCGGGGGAGGGGAGCCGCAGCCGGCTGGCTGGGCCGCCTCCTTAATGCCCTGTGGGGCTTGGAGGAGCGGGCTTCTGGCGGGCGTCCAAGGGGCAGGCGTTTGGAGCAGTCGCGAAACCGGGCGACCCGGCTCCCGCAGTGCGCCGTCCCGGGGGGTGGGGGGGTGGGGCGCTCCGAGTCGGCCACGTGCTCAGCCATTGTCGCAGATCTTAAGCACAGATGGTTCCTCCCTTTAGGGAGGGTCGGCCTCTGCGCGGTCGGCGCTGCCACCCAGACTGCAGCACTGCTGTTCCGAGCCCTCCGCGTGGCTTCGGGTGATAGGTCCTGCCCGCCGCCTCTATAGCTCTTGCGGTTTGGTAAAGCCGTCCTGTTTCTTTTTTTTTTTCCCAGCAAACATGTCTAAGGGACCTGCAGTTGGCATTGATCTTGGCACCACCTATTCGTGTGTGGGTGTCTTCCAGCATGGAAAGGTGGAAATAATTGCCAATGACCAGGGTAACCGAACCACGCCGAGCTATGTTGCTTTTACCGACACAGAACGTCTAATTGGGGATGCTGCGAAAAACCAGGTTGCAATGAACCCCACCAACACAGTTTTTGGTAAGCCGCCAGCTTTTCTGTCACGGTCGTGAAATCAAGGGGACTGGGCGGCGGGGAATTGGGAATGAATAGCAGAATAGCTTTTCTATACGACTACAGTCGTGTGGGCCATTGCTTCCTGCACCGGAGCTTGCACTGGTCTATATTTCGGTCTTTTATTGCCATGATAGAGAATGCTAAGGTACAATCTCCTTAGCTGGACGATGCATTAATTTTTTACAGATGCCAAACGTCTGATCGGACGTAGGTTTGATGATGCTGTTGTTCAGTCTGACATGAAGCACTGGCCCTTCATGGTGGTGAATGATGCAGGCAGGCCCAAGGTCCAAGTAGAATACAAAGGAGAGACAAAAAGTTTCTACCCAGAGGAAGTGTCCTCTATGGTTCTCACTAAGATGAAGGAAATTGCAGAAGCCTACCTTGGGAAGGTGAGTCTTTTAACTGGTGCTAGCTATGGGATGGTCTTATTTTAGTTTCCTATGTATTCTAGCCACTGCTAGAATTCGCTAATTAAACAACTTTGCAATTCTTTTTCCTAGACTGTTACCAATGCTGTGGTCACAGTGCCAGCTTACTTCAATGACTCTCAGCGACAGGCAACAAAAGATGCTGGAACTATTGCTGGCCTTAATGTACTTCGAATTATCAATGAACCAACTGCTGCTGCTATTGCTTATGGTTTAGATAAGAAGGTAGGTGTTCCAAGTACAATTTTTTTGTTCAGGTTAGTTTGCATGCCAGAAGTCATACTTGCGTGAGCTAGAATATTGTTTCATTTGACAGGTTGGAGCTGAAAGGAACGTGCTGATTTTTGACTTGGGAGGTGGTACTTTTGATGTGTCAATCCTCACAATTGAGGATGGCATTTTTGAAGTGAAATCCACAGCTGGAGACACCCACTTGGGTGGAGAAGACTTTGATAACCGAATGGTCAACCATTTCATTGCTGAGTTTAAACGAAAGCACAAGAAGGACATCAGTGAGAACAAGAGAGCTGTCAGGCGTCTTCGTACTGCCTGTGAACGGGCTAAGCGCACCCTCTCCTCCAGCACCCAGGCCAGTATTGAGATTGATTCTCTCTATGAGGGAATTGACTTCTATACCTCTATTACCCGTGCTCGATTTGAGGAATTGAATGCTGACCTGTTCCGTGGCACACTGGATCCTGTAGAAAAGGCCCTTCGAGATGCCAAACTTGACAAGTCACAGATTCATGACATTGTTCTGGTTGGTGGTTCTACTAGAATCCCCAAGATTCAGAAGCTTCTGCAAGACTTCTTCAACGGGAAAGAACTGAACAAGAGCATTAACCCTGATGAAGCTGTTGCTTATGGTGCAGGTAAATATGGCCCTATGTACATTCTTTTACAGTCCCTGCAAAGTTTACAAATAATTCGCTGTGATGATGGATTCCAAAACCATTCGTAGTTTCCACCAGAAGTGCTGTGTTGGCTAGTTCCTTCCTTGGATGTCTGAGCGAGTGAACTGTGTTGAAGTGCAATTCAAGTTAGGGTGGGTTTTTCTAACATTTCTTTTTCCCTTTTATAGCTGTCCAGGCAGCCATTTTATCAGGAGACAAGTCTGAGAACGTTCAGGATTTGTTGCTGTTGGATGTCACTCCTCTATCCCTTGGTATTGAAACTGCTGGTGGAGTCATGACTGTCCTCATCAAGCGCAATACCACCATTCCTACCAAGCAGACTCAGACTTTCACCACCTACTCTGACAACCAGCCTGGTGTGCTCATTCAGGTATGTTCATATAATTTTTCTTGCTTTGTATAGAGTACTCTGGGAAATCTCGCTGTGATGATGGATTCCAAAACCATTCGTAGTTTCCACCAGAAGTATTGTGTTGGCTAGTTCCTTCCTTGGATGTCTGAGCGACTGATATTCCCTTATTTGAGCTTAGAGCACAGGACTTTATGAAGTTCAGTGTCTTAGTTCTCTGTCTTTACTTTTTCTTCAAGGTGTATGAAGGTGAAAGGGCCATGACCAAGGACAACAACCTGCTTGGAAAGTTTGAACTCACAGGCATACCTCCAGCACCTCGTGGTGTCCCTCAGATTGAAGTCACTTTTGACATTGATGCCAATGGCATCCTCAATGTTTCCGCTGTAGATAAGAGCACAGGAAAGGAGAACAAGATCACCATCACCAATGACAAGGGTAAGTTTGGGCATAATAGTCTTATAAATAGAACCCACTTAAGTCAGTGTGCTTGCTTACCTTTTAAGCTCACCATAATTTTGTAACTTAACCAGGACGTTTGAGCAAGGAAGATATTGAGCGCATGGTCCAAGAAGCTGAGAAGTACAAAGCTGAGGATGAGAAGCAGAGAGATAAAGTTTCCTCTAAGAATTCACTGGAGTCCTATGCCTTCAACATGAAAGCTACAGTTGAAGATGAGAAACTTCAAGGCAAGATCAATGATGAGGATAAACAGAAGATTTTAGAAAAATGTAACGAAATCATCAGTTGGCTGGATAAGAATCAGGTAGGTGTTCTGTTGTCAATAAGGGGAAATAGATGTTCAAAACTGTTAAAAGGGTCACTATGATGAATGGTCCATAACATTCGCGGTTTCCACCAGAATGTAGAGTGTTGGCAGTTACCTTCCTTGGATGTCTGAGTGGCTCATAGCTAAGGGAGGGAGGGGATCCTTCATAATATATGTGTAGGGCTTAGTAGACATCCCACCATAGTAAGAGTAGTTGTTTATAGAAAGGTCTTTTGGTAATGGATAATTTTCTCTTGTAGACTGCTGAGAAGGAAGAATTTGAACACCAGCAGAAAGAACTGGAGAAAGTCTGCAACCCCATCATTACCAAGCTGTACCAGAGTGCTGGTGGCATGCCTGGAGGAATGCCTGGCGGCTTCCCTGGTGGAGGAGCACCTCCATCTGGTGGTGCTTCTTCTGGCCCCACCATTGAAGAGGTGGATTAAGTCAGTCCAAATAGAGGTGTAGCATTGTTCCACAGGGGAAACATTTGAAGGACCCAAATTTAGCAAGTTACACGGCAGTTTCAAATTTTTAAGCTGCTACAATAAATAACTGGGCATTCTCAATACTTGAACATGGGAGAGGAAACAATAACATTGCACTTTATAAGCACTGTATCCTAAATGAAAATGCAATGTCTCTAAAAACAGGTGGAAAATGCAATGTCTAATAAAATATTTAAATTGGCACCAGAGCAGTTGTCTTTGACTTGAGTAACTAAGGTATGGGTAATTTTTAGCTGACCCCTGGAACTCATAACTGCAGGTGTGAGAAGGTTGTGCCATCATACCTGGCACCACCCCACAGGTTTAGTGTTTAGCCTTGGGGTTGAGTGACAAGATTTGGTTTTGTATCTTAAGGTATAAAATTCAGAGACAGGAAGTAGGCCGTTCTCTGCCTATGGTAATCCCAGAAAATGGTCTGATTTTTTTGGTTGCCTCCCTGTCTTGGTTTTCATAGATTAGTTGTTGCCACCTAGTGGCCAGCCTTGTTAACAGGCGCATACAGGAAACCAGCCAAGTTTCTGTTACAGTGCTAACAGCTAATTCCTGTTTCAGAAGCTCTGTAGGCCTGTTATTTCTTTTTGGCTGCATTATTGGAGTCCAACTACATTTTTCTTCTGTCTGGTTCCCTAGTGTAATTAAAGGCAGGTACAGCCATTCTGTATTAAAGAGTTGAAGCTTTAGGCCACAGCACTTAGGATTTCAGGTGAAAGAACTGCTTTTATAGTACATAGGGTAATAGGGCACTAGAAGGAAAATTTTCTGTGTCATTCAGTATCAGCACTTTGGAACACTCAACCAAATTCGAATATAGGAGTCTTTCTAGCACCAGTGTTCATTTGAAACCAGGTTTGTGCTCTGCAGACTTAGTCTTACAGTTAAAGCTGGTTTCAGTTTTGCCTGGAAAGTGCTAAGGTCACTTGAGTTCTCTACCATGCTAGATGCTAACTGAAGTTGTATTGCTGATTTTTCTAAAGTAAATGAGCCATAGCGATAACGTTCCCAACAAGTACTACATTGTTTAGTTCAAGGCTCGAGGTTTATAAAGGAAAAGTGTCTTGGTTGTGGTAGAGTGGAGCCACAGGCATGACTTGATTAGAAAGATTCACAATGTTCCTCTGCATGTTGTCACATGAACCTTTAGTCCCTGCAGGGGGAGGCACATCTGAGGCCAACCTGGTCTACGCAAGTCTAGACAGTGAAAAAAATCTTTGTCCAGCAGATGGCAGTAGCTGATTATAAAGTACTGCCAGGATCCTTGGGGAAGCTAGTTGAATTTTTTTTTTTTTTTTTTTGAACGGCAGAATCCCTGCACAACCCGGTGTGTATCCTGGAACTATAGACTAGACTGCCCTCAAGCTCCTGCTTCTGCCTCTAAGTATTAGGATTAACTGTGGACCACCACGCCCAGCTGAAACACTTCTGGGGTTGGAGTGGTGCTTTTTGTTTTCACACATGCACCTTGTTGGCAGGATGGTAAAGGAGAGGGTAGTGATAGAGCCAGCCCCAAACATCCATCTTCAGGTCCAAGCATGGCATTTTAAGAAGAGCAAATGCCATGCCCTTGATGGTGGGTATGGCTTGAGTGGAGAGTTCAGTGTGTATGAGGGTAGAAAAAGGACAGAAACAAGGGGCTAGGGAGAACAAAGGCTCGGTGGTAATTTTTAAGTTCCTGTCTTACATAACCTTTGAGCTTATACTTGTGAGCTCACCTTTGGAAAGACTGCTGGGCACCATAGCTCAGGCCTTGGACCACATGTGACATGGCTACAGGGTAGCACTTGGGAGGGGGAAAGAGGAACAAGAAGTTCAGGGTCAGCCTGGGCTATAACGACCAGGTCTCTAAGAACAGTTTTTATATTGGTTTACTTGAAATTTTTGTCAATATTTTATGTATCTCTACAGAATGATGCAAAACAATTTAGTCAACAAAATATACCATTGTCACATTTTTAGCCCCACACTCCCTTAGCCTTCCATTCTGAACATTTTGCAGACGTAGAAGCATAAAACAAATGGTCTTTTGTGACTGCCTTAACATATTTCCCACCAGGCTACTGAAGGGGGAGAGGGGAGAACAAATGGGAGAGAACTGTTAGAGGAATTGGGAAGATGGAGGAGGAATAGAAATGAAAGTATCTAAGATTAGGGAAGATGTTGAATTCCCGTAATCCAGGAGTTAGGAGGCATGCCCGTGTGAACTATTGTGGCTATTTAATAACTTTTATGTTTGCATTGGGGCTTAATTCAAACCAAATAGTCCACTCTCAGGAAATACTAGGTGAGACTTGAAGGTCAGCTGCAAGCAAGAAACCAATTGGAAGAACCTTGGGCAGTTCAACAGAAGCTTTTTATTGCTTTAGTATTTTTTGGATTTCTGTCTAGAGACCTGCTGTGCCCTCTAAAGGTGTGCAACACTGAACAAATTACTTTTCTGAAACTACCCGAGAAGTGGAGTTTACAATACCCGACCTTAGAATCATCAGGAGAATGGAGTGACTCAGTATGTGCAAAACATTTAGCCCTGCAGCTGGCTCGGGAAGCCCTCAGTCAACGCACTATCACTAGCTATAGAGTAGACACTATTTGCTCAGGGTGCCGTAAAAATTGTCAAACACACAGAGGTAGTTTAAAACAACAAATTTATTGTCTCCAGTGTAGAAACTGAAAGTCAACTGACGCCAACGTTTGGGCAAGAGCCACACTTGCCAGGGAGGGAATCTTCTGACTTCCCAGTCACCTGGCTGTGGGGCTGTGCTTGTCCGTGATCTGTATGTAAATTTAGCCCTTTGGAAGCAGGACCTTAAACATTCACTTTCCAGTCACCTCTGTAAGGACCCTACTTCCAAATATGGAAAGTCGCTCTCTGAGGGTCTGGGATTACCATTCAATGACAGTTCAAGCCACAGCCATCACATTACTGGTTGTCACAGGGAAAGAATCTCCCCAGTTCTTGTGCAAAAAAACGGAAAAGGAACGTAGGACAAAAACCTAAATACCTGTTCTTCAGTGAGCCGGTGTGAAAGGCTTTTGATCGGAGTCTTTCTCTAGAGCTGCCCACCAGCTGTGGAGCTTTTTCTCTTCCTTCCTCCTCATCCCTCCATTGTCCCTCTGGATTCCCAAACAACGCCTAATTCTATTACTTCCAGTGATTTCCCCGTGGATGGCAGTTTATTTCTGTCATCAAGTCTCTGATGAAATCTATAGCCGTGAAATGTTTAGTCCAATCCCAACAAATCGTGTATAGTGTTAACATGTCACAAGCTGCCCGAGCCCTGCATTATGCGGTAATTTGGAAGCGAGAGAAGTGATAATATAAGGCCGGGCTTCCTTTGTGAGCTCGCATTAATGCTGTAGCTGGGGATGTCAATTGACAGCCCATCGATTTGGGCTAATAGTGCATGGAGGGGGCAGAATTGGGGCAAGGCAGGGAATAAAGGATATCGACGTCCAGCCGCCAGGATCCCGGCAGCTTTTAATGTATTATTGCCCTCTTTTAATGCAACTTTCACGTCAACTGCATTTCCTTCTACCAGTCCTGCCTGCTGAGCTGAACTGTGAAGCCAGTGGGGTGCCACCCCCAGAGTGGCTCAGAGTTCCCCAGTATTGATTCTTTGATGCTCTGGGGTGTGAATTATAATTATTTCATTAAGCCCTTTAATGGGTATCAACCATGAACCTTCCCCAGCCCAGGCTGAGGAGGCCAGGGCGAGGTCCACATCATTAATCTATGTTCATCTCATTGCCACCAATTGTCCAACTCTCAACCCTTATTTATTTTTTTCTCCTATTATCGCGTCTAAGGTTTTAGCTAGAAGCAGGTCGATCTACTCCCAGAGAGGAACTGGAAAGAGGAGCTGGCCGATTTGGGGAGACTTGAGGGGAGGCCACAGCTGAGCAGACTGCAGAGCTGGCTAGTCACACTAAGGGATCAGCATTGCCCAGCTCTACTTGGCTTGTACAGAAAAGTAGCACAGGAGCTCTTGGGACAAACCCAGAGAGCTTGCAGCCTAGGTGTCTGTGTCCTGTGTCGTGATTTAGGAATACTCCATCAGTTTGCTTAGGTCACTCATCACTTGCTAAGGTTCTATGTGTTCAAAGGAATGCCTTGTGCCTTCAAGCAGCTTAGACTCCAGGAAGGGGGAGAGGAATGAAGACACAGATAAATAACAGATATGGGAGAGAGTGTGGAGGGAGTCATGGAACCTAATGAAAGGAACCCTGGATCAAGACATGTATAAAGGCTTCCTGGAGGAGCCAGTGCTTAAGGCAGTCTTAAGGAATGAGCAGGGGAAGCCAGAAGAAAGAGGAAGGGCACTCTAGTCAGTAGAGCAATAGTTGCTGAGATCTAAAAGTAAAGATGAGATTTGGGGACCTTGAGTAACCTTGGCTTTCCCACCCCACCTTTTCAGAAGTATTGGGTTGAATCTAGGGCATCACACATGAGAAGCAAATGTTCTAACCCTGAGCCCCCAGCCATCCAACCAACTTCATCATCTCCTAATCCACCTCTCTGCTGGTGAGGTTTTTGTTGTTGTTGTTGTTTGTTTGAGACAGGGTTTCTCTGTATAACCTTAGCTCTGTCCTGGACTCCCTTTGCCCTTTGTAGACCAGGCTGGGCTCAAACTCAAAGCAACCTGCCTGCCTCTGCCTCCCTGAGTGCTGGGATGACAGGTGTTCGCCACCACACCCGGCTTGCTGGTGAGTCTTATCAGAAGCTTTGGGAAAGTTCAGAAACCCTTCAGTTGGCATTTCTATCCTTCCTTCAGATAGTTTTTCATGTCTGTCATCACATTTCCTCCTAAGCCAAAAGTAACTTGCATTCTAGACCCTTCCCTTCTTTGTTTTTGGGTAATTGTTCCTTTGCTTGTTTTTACATGATTGGGTGTTTTGCTTCCTATGTATGCCTATGTACTACATGCATGTCCTGGCACCTGCTGAGTTCAGAGGAGGGTATTGGAGCTCCTGGAATTGGAGTCAAAGATGGCTGTGAGCCACCATATGGGTGGTGGGAATTGAACCCAGTTCCTCTGCAAAAACACCAAGTGCTCGTAACTACTGAGCCTGGGTAATAGTTTGAAAACACATCTATAATTTCTCTTTTTTTACATTTCTTCAGTATATGCACAATTATCTCCTTTGGAATATGACCTGACCTTGGGGACAGTTTATAACAGATAGAATGTTGACA